AAAAAAAACTCACTGCTTCACTTTACTACTAGTCAAGTACTGACAAAGTATGATGAATTGTATCAAGAAGTACCGCCGAAACTGTGAGTCATTCAGCTGCAGTTGTAGAAGCTGTAAACTTCCAAAATCAATCCAAATTAAGCATAGTCATCCGTAAACTTACCTTTGGGCTTGTCAGATACTTTGCGAAATAAGAGTCAGATTCATCTATTACTTCATGTACACTTTTCGCGGCCTACAATCAAGTTCTGAAGGACGAATAAAATTTTGAGAGAAGAGGAGAAAACTCACCGTAGATCGCTTTTTTCCATTGTCATCGTCATCGTCACCAGATTTTTCTAACTTGTAACTTGAGAACACGCTTAATACATCCGTTGAGTTCTGCAAAAACTATCCTTTATCATACAAGACGCAGATAACTTGGTCGGAATCAAACCTTTTGGAAAATGGCCCATTGCTGCTTATCGAAACATACAGTGGGATTGGAAAAGAAATCTTGCATCTGCCAGAACATTGAATACAGTGCATGGTCGACTGGAATATTCACCTCTCTGTAAATGTATGAGATAGTGTTTTTTGCGAAATTCCACTGACATACTTTTCCTTAATTTCTCCTGTTTCTATTTCTTCGTCTGAACCACTGATAAGATCTACCGGCTGTGTTTCAGTCTGAAAACTTTACAGAGTCATTCCAGCACTTTATCATACTGAAAAAATGAAAGCTGGATCCGTTCATTAGGTAATCCTACACTAAAGTTGCAACGTATCCACTACAAATATGGTTTCTCTGACTACGTACGGAAGCCATGGTTGACCACTCACCGTATCATACTTTGTTATGTTCTGAGTGTTGAAATGTCCCATCAAGTTGAGGCCAGACTTCTCTCCGAGTGGCAGATATCTAAAACCTGATGAATGTAGACTGCATCTTGTAGAGGATAAAGAAAACCCGAAGACGAACCTACTAAGGAAAAACAAAATCCTTCCACAAAATGATGTTTCGGCACTTCTACTCAACCTCTTGAGAAGATCGTTACACATTCTCAGTATGGGAGTTTGCGATGACTCTACAAGGGGTGACTAAAAGAATTCCATAAATAAGGAGCTACTGAGGAATGAGAAGATGAAACCTCACTTGTTTGAACTGGAACATGTTTTCCTCAAGTATTCCGAACAATCGCTCACATCTTCCAATCCCACTCACTTCGAACATATCTTGTAGCGTTTGGACGGCAGTTTGTTTCACACATAATCCTAAACAACACGGAATGGACTCAATCTAATCAAATGTCACATTCTTCAGGTATCCGAGCATTATAAAAATACTACAACAAATTGAAGGTCAATATTTGCTTCACTAGAGGACAAATAGTTGCCAGACTCTTTTCCCTCGTTTCACATCTTGGTCAATAAAGTAGCTCTAGCTAAACTCCCTATTGCGCTTTTTTC